GGAAGACAGACTGAAGCTACATACGTGTGTGTGTGTGTGTGTGTGTGTGTGTGTGTGTGTGTGTATCAGTGTGTGGATATGGGTCGGTGTGGGTGGGTGACTATCAGTATGTGGATGTGGGCAGGTGTGGGTGAGTGGGTGTATGTGTGTGTGAGCATGACACTATATATGTGATACTTGGCCGAGAGGTGAGGCAACACAACTCACCTCTTTGCTGGGGCATCAGAGGACACAGGTCTCTGTTCCCTGAAGTGTTCAGCCTCCATGGACCAGGCTGGGCCTCCAAGCTGAGGTTTGGCTCTGGGAGCAGCCAGTCAGGCTTTCAAGGACAGAAGACAGTACGTGGCAGGTAGAGGAAGAAATCTTGCATAGAGGCCTGCGTGAGTCCAGTTTTGTCTGTAGTGTGTGGATCCCTGAGAGTCATCCTGTCCACCTGCTGCCCCTGAAGAGGTTGCCCCTAAGCCACCCTCCTGCTGTCAGGACTGCCTCAACTTCAGAAGGGGCCCCGTGAGAGAGGTTTCCCCATGTCTCTCACTAGTCCCTGCCACAGTTTATTTTGGAAAATTCTCCAACTTTGTTTATCCTCCCTACCCCAATCCCATGTAAACTCTGTCCTACTCATACTCAAATGAGGAAATAGAAATTTAGGTTACAGGGAAATATATGTGATAACATTTATGTTGTTCTGACTGTCTGTGACAAAAGATGCCAGTGGGACATGTGAGTAGAACAGAGAAGGGAGATACATGCTGTGCTGATGCTCTAGTTGACTTAATAACTAACATTGATTCAGTGATTTGTATGGGTTTGTATGAGCCAGGCACTGTCTTAATGATTTTCCTATAATAACTCACTGAATTTTTATAACGACGTTATATAGATAGTGTTATTATTATCATTCCTATTTTACAGACGAGGAAGCAGACCAGGGAGGCTAAATAGCTTGCTCAGGACCACAAGCTAGGAAGCTGCAGTGGAAGCTAGCTTTGCATGGGGGTGGGGTGTTGGGAAGATGCTCCAGGTCCTATGTTCTTAATCACTACCCTCTACTGTGCAGCATCTGTACCTCAGTGCTTGAGTCTAGAGATACTGCAAACTTTAACCATCTTTCCCTCTACCTGAGAAGCCAAGTTTTTCCTCCTTATGTTTCAGCCTTTCAGTAACAAACCAGGGAAGATAAATCATTTGCCCAAATTCACTCAGCTCATGATGGAGTCATCTGACCAGCACCCAGAGTCCCACTTCCCAGACATTTTTTTTTTTTTTGCTTTTCCTTCCTCCCTTTCTTCCTCCCTCCCTCCCTCTCTCCCTTCCTTCCTTTCCTTCCTTCCTCCATTTCTTTTTCTTCTCTTTCATTTTTCTTCTCTTTTATTTTTTATTAA